TGAAGCAATGTAAAAAGAGAGCAAATGAGAGAGTGGGTGAGATGTTATCAACAAATTTTATTGAAAATAAGAAAAAGTTTTGAAGTGAGATTAATAAGTTAAGGAAGCCTAGGGAACAAGTGGATTTGACAGTTAAAAATAGGAGAGGAGAGTTATTAAATGGAGAGTTAGAGGTATCGGGAAGATGGAGGGAATATTTTGAGGAATTGTTAAATGTTGATGAAGATAGGGAAGCTGTGATTTCATCCAGGTCTCCCTCAACATTCTCGAGGGTTAGGGGATCAAGAGCCTCGCGAATGTTGAAAAACCATGAATGTTTGGTGCCCCAATATATTGTAGGGAAATATATTACAATACTGCTTCCTTAACTTGTTGAACCATGAATAATCATAAAATACATGAAAACGTCGTAAATTGTACTAAATATATACATATTATGCTTTAATAACGTATGTTATTTAATAACATGTATGTTAATAACATGTATGTTATTAAATACCACAGACTCCACCAATGCCTCCACCACTGCGAGTCCCTACTACCCTCCCTCCGACCCCCGCAACTGGCAGCCAGCCCTCCCACCACTCAGTGTGGTGAGTGTTTTGTTTGTTCATTATTTGCTATTAAACTACAGTATAAATAATGTAAACCCATTCATGACTGCATATTGGAATGGCTATTAGGAAAGGTATTAGATGGTGACATCATGTGTTTACTCTTGAACACAGCAAAGAATCGAACATTTCTGCTATTGCTAATAATAACAATAGTAATAATAATAATAATAATAATAATAATAATAATAATAATAATAATAATAATAATAATAATAATAAATACGATATAATTGAAGAAGGAAATTGTACAAAAATACGAGGGAGTGGTTGACACATCGTCAGTGTGACTTTGTTTATGCTGGAGTGGACATTAGTCTCCCTGCTCTTCCAAACATTTCACAATAATTCAACAGTTGAGGAAGTGGTATTTAATAACATATATGTTATAAATAATAATAGTACATGTTATTATTAATAACATGTATTATTATTAACATGTATGTATTTAATAACATTCTTCTTCTTCTTTCAACACACCGGCCGTATCCCACCAAGGCGGGGTGGCCCAAAAGGAAAAACAAAAGTTTCTCCTTTTACATTTAGTAAATTATACAGGAGAAGAGGTTACTAGCCCCTTGCTCCCGGCATTTTAGTCGCCTCTTACGACACACATGGCTTACGGAGGAAGAATTCTGTTCCACTTCCCCATGGAGAATTTAATAACATATATGTTATAAATAATAATAGTACATACATGTATTATTAATAACATGTATTATTATTAACATGTATGTTATTAAATACCATTGCCTCAATCACTGCCTCTACCACTCCAGTCACACTCAATCTACAAGCACCAAACACAATGAATTATTGTGAAATGTTTGGAAGAGCAGGGAGACTAATGTTCACTTCAGCATAAACAAAGTCACACTGACGATGTGTCAACCACTCCCTTGTATTTTTGTACAATTTCCCTCTTCAATTATATCATATTTATTATTATTATTATTATTATTATTATTATTATTATTATTATTATTACTATTGTTATTATTAGCTGTAGCAGAAATGTTTAATTCTTTGCAGTGTTCAAGAGTAAAGACATGATGTCACCGTCTAATACCTGTCCAAATAGCCATTCCAATATGCAGTCATGAATGGGTTTACATTATTTATACTGCAGTTTAATAGCAAATAATGAACAAACAAAACACTCACCACACTGAGTGGTGGGAGGGCTGGCTGCCAGTTGCGGGGGTCGGAGGGAGGTTAGTAGGGACTCGCAGGTGGCGGGAAACTTAAATATGATTTGGCGGCTGGGAATTTGGTGGCTGGGAATTTGGCGGTTGGGAATTCGCGAATGAGTGAAGCCCATGAAAGTTGAAAACGTGAATGTTGAGGGAGACCTGTATATAGGGCAAGGAAGAATAACATCTTGTAGGAGTGAGGAAGAGCAAGTTGTGAGTGTGGGGGAAGTTCGTGAGATAGTGAGTAGAATGAAAGGGAGTAAGGCAGCTGGGATTAATGGGATAAAGATAGAAATGTTAAAAGCAGGTGGGGATATAGCTTTGGAGTGGTTGGTGCTATTATTTAATAAATGTATGGAAGAGAGTAAGGTACCTAGGGATTGGCAGAGAGCATGTAGAGTTCCTTTGTAAAAAGGCAAAGGGGATAAAAGAGAGTGCAAAAATTATAGGGGAATAAGTTTGTTGAGTATACCTGGTAAAGTGTATGGTAGAGTTATTATTGAAAGAATTAAGACTAAGACGGAGAGCAGGATAGCAGATTAACAAGGAGGCTTTAGAAAAGTTAGGGGGTGTGTAGACCAAGTGTTTATAGTGAAACATATAGGTGAACAGTATTTAGATAAGGGTAAAGAGGTTTTTGTGGTATTTATGAATTTGGAAAAGGCATATGACAGGGTGGATAGGGGGGCAATGTGGCAGATGTTGCAGGTGTATGGTATAGGAGGTAGGTTAATGAAAGCAGTGAAAAGTTTTTATGACAGTGAGGCTCAGATTAGAGTATGTAGGAGAGAGGGAGATTATTTCCTAGTAAAAGTAGTGGTGTCATCATGGTTATTCAATATATTTATAGATGAGGTTGTAAGAGAAGTGTATGCTAGAGTCTTGGCAAGAGGTGTGGAGTTATAAGATAAAGAATCAAATACAAAGTGGGAGTTGTCTCAGTTGCTTTTTGCTGATGATACTGTGCTTTTGGGAGATTCTAAAGAGAAGTTGCAGAGGTTGGTCAATGAATTTGGTAGGGTATGTAAAAGAAGAAAATTAAAAGTGAATATAGGAAAGAGTAAGGTGATGAGGATAACAAAAAGATTAATTGGTGAAAGATTGGGTATCAGATTCGAGGGAGAGAGTATGGAGGAAGTGAATGTATTCAGATATTTAGTAGTGGACGTGTCAGCAGATGGGTCTATGAAGGATGAGGTGAATCACAGAACTGATGAGGAAAAAAGGGTGAGTGGTGCACTTCGGAGTCTGTGGAGACAAAGAACTGTGTCCGTGGAAGCAAAGAAGGGAATGCATGAGAGTATAGTTGTACCAACACTCTTGTATGGGTGTGAAGCATGGGTGATGAATGTTGCAACGAGGAGGAGGCCGGAGTCAGGGGAGATGTCATGTCTGAGGGCAATGTGTGGTGTGAATATAATGCAGAGAATTTGTAGTTTGGAAATCAGGAGAAGGTGTGGGATTACCAAAACTATTATCCAAAGGACTGAGGAGGGGTTGTTGAGGTGGTTCGGACATGTAGAGAGAATGGAACAAAACAGAATGACTTTGAGAGTGTATAAATCTGTAGTGAAGGGAAGGCAGGGTAGGGGTTGGCCTAGGAAGGGTTGGAGGGAGGGGGTAAAGGTTTTGTGTGCGGGGAGCTTGGACTTCCAGCAAGCATGCGTGAGTGTATTTGATAGGAGTGAACAGAGACAAATGGTTTTTAATACTTGATGTGCTGTTGGAATGTGTGCAAAGTAACATTTATGAAGGGATTCAGGGAAACAGGCAGGCCGGACTTGAGTCCTGGGGATAGGAAGTACAGTGTCTGCACTCTGAAGAAGGGGTGTTAATGTTGCAGTTTTATAACTGTAGTGTAAAGCACCCCTCTGGCAAGACAGTGATGGAGTGAATGGTGATGAAAGTTTTTTTTTTTTTGGGGGCCACCCTGCCTTGGTGGGAATCAGCAGATGTGTTAATAAAAATAAAAATTTTTTTAGTATAGCCCCCAATTTAACAGAGTGCTAGGGAAAGTAGGTGGTCAGTACTAGAGTTGTTATGGCTAGAGATAACACTGTTTTGCTGTCATCGCAATAATAATGGGCAATTCTTTAACATACGAACTTTCCGTTGGTTATATAATTTTATTATGACTGAACTGGTGAACCAAAAAATATGTACCATCTGCACAATACATGTATAAGTTATTATAAATGATATATATACAATACGATAAAAAATTTACAAATGATGGATCAAAGTAGAATGACTTGGAGAGCGTATAAATCTGTAGGGGAAAGAAGGCGGGGTAGGGGTCATCCTCGAAAAGGTTGGAGGGAGGGGGTAAAGGAGGTTTTGTGGGCGAGGGGCTTGGACTTCCAGCAAGCATGTGTGAGCGTGTTAGACAGAAATGAATGGAGACAAATGGTTTTTGGGACCTGACGAGCTATTGGAGTGCGAGCAGGGTAATACTTTGTCAAGGGATTCAGGGAAACTGGTTAGCCGGACTTGAGTCCTGGAAATGGGAAGTACAATGCCTGCACTTTAAAGGAGGGGTTTGGGATATTGACAGTTTGGAGGGACTTCTAAACTGTCGTATCTGAGTGCCTCTGCAAAGACAGTATGAGTGAGGTGAAAGTGTTGAATGATGATGAAAGTATTTTCTTTTTGGTGATTTTCTTTCTTTTTGGGTCACCCTGCTTCGGTGGGAGACGAATTAAATGTTGAAAAAAAACAAAAATCCCATGCGAAACATACTTCTAATACATACGACAGAAAGTACAAAATATTCTTCAAACAAAATATGCAGTCCCTTCCAAGGGGTAATTACTGTACTTTGATGGTGCCAAGCTCTTGATTCAAGGAGCTAAAGCTACTCTCAGGCTTGTGTGAACATGTTAGATAGGAGTGAGTGATGACAAGTGGTTTTTAATGGGTGTGCTGTTGGAATGTGAGCAAGGTAATACAGTATTTATGAAGTGATTCAGGGAAAACCAGCTAACCAGACTTCGAGTCCTGGAAGTGGGAAGGGCAATGCAGATTAGCAAGGGTGTCGATTCTGCAGTGGGAGGGTGATCTGAACTGTGATGTCAGCACACCTCTGGCAAGAAAGCAATTGAATGCATGATGGCGAATGTGTTTCTTTCTGTGGATCACCCTACCCTGGCAAGAAACTGCTGTTAAGAATAAAAACCAATGAACATGCACTTACCAATTCTGAAAAATTCCTTAGCAACACATTCTGCCATTTTTTCACACCAAGCTTTAGTTGGACAGAAAACAAGAACAGAGAAACCCTCCAGTACTGTCTCAAGACACAGCTGGATCAGATGGTCACTGTCATCCTAAAGTGAGATGGTTTTATATTAATTCACACACAAATATATTACTACATCTTAAACTATGAAAAATTAGTTGTAAAGGGCTGTATAAGTTCTAATTTGCCAATTTTATTAACCCTTTGACTGTCACGACCCCAAATCCTGAAGTCTCTCGCTCTGTTGCAAAATATTCGAAAAAAAAAGCAAAAATTATTTTTTCTTGTGAAATGATAGAGAATCTTTTCCCGGTGGTAATGACACCAAAGGTACAAAATTTGATGGAAAACTTATGGAATTACGCTCTTGCAAAGTTAGCGATCTCGGCAACATATACGCACCGGCAATTTCGCCCACTTTGAGCCCTATTTTCGGTCAATTCCATTGCTCCAGTTGACCAAACTCATATCTATTTCTTTAGAACTCCATTTGCTCTATCAATTGAGTACAAGAAACCACCCATTTCCTGATTTCAACTATCCAATAAAGTGGTCAGAAAATTAAAAAATATGCCAATTTCAAAATAGGGTCCAGAATAAACAATACAGACATTCCTGGCACTAAAATAACATTTTCTCTGTTCATTAGTCATGTCTCCAAGCCCTTCTTATATTACTCTTGCTTTATATTTTGAATTTTTATTCACATAAAAAATAGATTTACTGTTATGGAGACTACATTGTTATAATAATTGTATAAATAATGTCAGCCCATTCGTAACTGTGTATTAGAATGGCTAGTTGGACACTTATTGGATGGTGACGTCATTTGTTTACTCTTGAACATAAGCAAAAATCGAACATTCTGCTACTTTGAGCTCAATTTCAAGGTCCTTTTCATAGTGAAACCAATCAAAATCATCTCTATTTCTGTAAAATGTATTCCGTTCTATCCAATGAGACCAAGAAAACAAGAACACAACCATAAATACTGTACAAAAATACACCTTAAAGTCGGTGTTGTAATCCAAAAGTACAGTCGAAGTATTTTTCTTCTTGTTATGCACTGCGTGCTGCAGGATTTTTTTTATACTGCGCACACTGACCACACAGACCCACTCTTTCACATGTGGGCCTACTGGCTTTCTCTCGCTTGATTTGAAGCAGCTAGAATTTTGGTGTATCAATACATCAAAATCCCTAGCTCATAAGACGTACATATACGACCGCGACAGTCAAAGGGTTAAACACACTGGTTTCTCTGCTATAATTTCAGAATGCCTCTTCTGACTGGTTTCAAACCTTAAATGCTGGAGTGTCTCAATTAGAGACATTTTTGTACTGATCTTGGGCTGTGTAAGTGCCAATCTGCCATTATTGTTTAAAAAAATATGGGTATTTTTTCCTTGCAATAACATGAAAATGCAACTTTTGAGCAACCTCAAACTTAAAGTTATGAGTATTTTGCTCACAGGAAGGTATATTTTTTATTGGGCTATGCAAGTCATAATTTGCCAGTTTTATCCAACAAACAGGGATTTTAGTTTCTGTGTGATAACTAGCAAATGCCTCTTCCAAATAGTTTTATGCTTTCAAAACTGATATATCTTACCTAGTGGAAAGTTTGGAATGGTTTTGGTCTGTGTAGATGCTAATTTGCTATGTTTTTTGAAACATGCTCTTTCTGATCATCAGCTTCCAATCTTCAATACTAACATTTAACTGCATTACAAACTTCACTCTGTACTATTTCTTTTATGTGCATTAACTTAAAAGAGGGTGGGATTATGGAGTGTGAGACATCCTTCATGGATGGTGAAGCAAGTAAAACGGTCTAGTTTATAATGTACTGACAGAGAGCATACCACACCACAGCCTTTAATTTGTCTAGATGTGAGGTCATTTTGACTAAGATTTTCCTCTATATAGGATAAGGTTATAATTCTGTAAGGTAACTACTTGCCAAACAAAGGCCAACTTATTTTCTCCATCTCATTATTTACACTTGTCTCACATATTAATAATGTTACATTAACTGTCAGAAATTCTACTACAACATAAGTTATGTATAGAGACTGATTAATTTTTTCTTCCAACCATACAAATAAAATTTTAATTGCTTAAACCACAATATTTACAAATAGAACACTATATACATAGTACTTGGCAACACTAAATTTGTAAAAATCTAACATTAATATGCTCACCTTAACAGTCAGTAAAGGATCTAGCTCCCTCACTTTATTCATGGTGGGGTCATATAATGCTCTGCCAATCTTGACTCTCTCTGTGAGTGGTACAGGTCTGAAGTCTGTGTTATACAAGGCAGAGTCTAGCCAACCAGCCAGCAATTTCAAGTTAGGCAGAGTGGCAGACATTCCAATAATCTGTATACCATTTTCATCCTAGAAAAAATATGTTTTTACATTACCTGCAGTTAGCTAAATACAGTTAGGTAGCAGCTCTGTCTCACACCTAGCGGACGGAGGATCAAGTATCCATAACTCCTTGTGCTGTATGACTACAAAGATTAACCCCTTCAGGGTCCAAGGCCAAAATTCCAGTGTCCCAAAATTTAAAAAAAAAAAAAAAAAAAATTATTTTTTCTTATGAAATGGTAGAGAATCTTTTTATGAAGGTAATAAAACAAAAAGTACAAAATTTGATAGAAAATTGACGAAATTATGCTCTCGCAAATTTTGATGTGTCAGCGATATTTATGAATCGGCGATTTTGCCGACTTTGACTCCCATTTTAGGCCAATTACATTATTCCAGTCGACCAAATTCTTAGCTATTTCACTAGTATTACTTCTATTCTATCGATTGAGCACAAGAAATCGCCAAGTCAACTATTTCAATTACAAAATAAAGTGATCGGAAATTGGTAATTTGGCCAATTTAACACAAAGTTCAAAATATTCCAGTTTCAAAATGGGGTCCAGAATAAACAATGTAAGTATTCCTGGCACTAAACTAACATTTCCTCTGTTCATTAGTTACGTTTTGAGGCTTTACAAATAAATTCCATTTTGATTTTTTATTCACATAATGAATTTTTATTCACACCAAAAAATAGAAGATTTACTGTTATGCAATATTGTAATAATTGTATAAATATCATCACCACGTTTGTGAATGTATATAAGACCCGCCAGCTGGCGTGTAATAGATGTGTGAGGTCGTTTGTTTACTCTTGAACATCGGCAAAAATTTAACATTTCCGCTACTTTGAGCTCAGTTTCAAGCCATTTCCTGTGCTAAAACCAATCAAAATCATCTTTATTTCTGTAATATGTCTTCCATTCTATCAAATGAGACCAAGAAATTGCAAATACAACTATAAAAACATACGAAAAAACACTGCAAAGTCGCTGTTTTAATCGAAAATCATGATCTCAGTTTTTTTCTCTCATTATACACAGTGTGCTGCCGGATTTGTTTAATGTGGTGCACACATACCACAATGATGTATTCTCTCATATCTAGGCCCAAATGTACCACTCACAGTTTATCAGAGTGAGCTGAGCTCATGGCGTAGATCTACAGTTTGGACCCTCAACGTAAAGCCGTAGATCTACGGGACGGACCCTGAAAGGGTTAAGCACTTCACAAAAAAGTATATCTCGTACAGTGGACCCTCGGTTATCGGCTGTAATCCGTTCCGGAAGCTTGGCCTAAAACCGAAATAATATTTCCCATGAGAATTAATTTAATTACAATTAATCTGTTCCAGACAAAAATATTCACCATAAAATCATTTTTTAACAATTAAATCATTATTACATATCTTTATTGAAGACTAATGCTGGCTTCTGGAATGCCTGCTACACTTCCTGCATGCCTGCTACACTTCTTGCATGCCTGCTACACTTCCTGCATGCCTGCTACACTTCCTGCATGCCTGCTACACTTCTTGCATGCCTGCTACACTCCCTGCATGCCTACTACACTTCCTGCATGCCTGGTACACTTCCTGCATGCCTGCTACACTTCTTGCATGCCTACTACACTTCCAGCATGCCTGCTACACTTCCTGCATGCCTGCTACACTTCCTGCATGCCTGCTACACTTCTTGCATGCCTGCTACACTTCCTGCATGCCTGCTACACTTCCTGCATGCCTGCTACACTTCCTGCATGCCTGCTACACTTCCTGCATGCCTGCTACACTTCCTGCATGCCTGCTACACCTCCTGCATGCCTGCTACACCTCCTGCATGCCTGCTATACTTCCTGCATGCCTGCTACACTTCCTGCATCCCTGATACACTTCCTGCATGCCTGCTACACTTCCTGCATGTCTGCAACACTCCCTGCATGTCTGCAACACTCCCTGCATGCCTGTTACACTTTATGCCTGTTACACCTCCTGCATGCTTGTTACACTCCCTGCATGCCTGCCACACTTCCTGCATGCCTGCTACACCGCCTGCATGTCTGCTACACTCCATGCATGCCTGCTACACTTCCTGCATGCCTGCTACACTTCCTGCATGTCTGCTACACTCCCTGCATACCTATTACACTTCCTGCATGCCTGCTACACTCACTGCATGCCTGCTACACTTATTGCATGCCTACTACACTTCCTGCATGTCTGCTACACTCCCTGCATGCCTGCTACACTCCCTGCATGCCTGTTACACTCCCTGCATGCCTGCTACACTTCTTGCATGCCTACTACACTTCATGCATGTCTGCTACACTCCCTGCATGTCTGCTACACTCCCTGCATGCCTGCTACACTCCCTGCATGCCTGCTACACTCCCTGCATGTCTGCTACACTCCCTGCATGCCTGCTACACTCCCTGCATGCCTGCTACACTCCCTGTATGCCTGCCACACTCCCTGCATGCCTGTTACACTCCTTACATGCCTGCTACACTCCCTGCATGCCTGCTACACTCCCTACATGCCTGCTACACTCCCTGCATACCTGTTACACTCCCTGCATGCCTGCTACACTCCCTGCATGCCTGCTACACTCCCTGCATGTCTGCTACCCTCCCTGCATGTCTGCTACACTCCGTGCATGCCTGCTACACTCTGTGCATGCCTGCTACACTCCCTGCATGCCTGCTACACTCCCTGCATGTCTGCTACACTCCCTGCATGCCTGCTACACTCCCTGCATGCCTGCTACACTCCCTGCATGCCTGCTACACTCCCTGCATGTCTGATACACTCCATGCATGCCTGCTACACTCCCTGCATGCCTGCTACACTCCCTGCATGCCTGCTACACTCCCTGCATGCCTGTTACACTCCCTGCATGCCTGCTACACTCCATGCATGCCTGCTACACTCCATGCATGCCTGCTACACTCCCTGCATGCCTGCTACACTCCCTGCATGCCTGCTACACTCCCTGCATGCCTGCTACACTCCCTGCATGCCTGTTACACTCCCTGCATGTCTGCTACACTCCATGCATGCCTGCTACACTCCATGCATGCCTGCTACACTCCATGCATGCCTGCTACACTCCATGCATGCCTGCTACACTCCCTGCATGCCTGCTACACTCCCTGCATGCCTGCTACACTCCCTGCATGCCTGTTACACTCCCTGCATGCCTGTTACACTCCCTGCATGCCTGCTACACTCCGTGCATGCCTGCTACACTCCCTGCATGCCTGCTACACTCCCTGCATGTCTGCTACACTCCATGCATACCTGCTACACTCCCTGCATGCCTGCTACACTCCCTGCATGCCTGTTACACTCCCTGCATGCCTGTTACACTCCCTGCATGCCTGCTACACTCCCTGCATGCCTGCTACACTCCCTGCATGCCTGCTACACTCCCTGCATGCCTGTTAAACTCCCTGCATGCCTGTTACACTCCCTGCATGCCTGTTACACTCCTTGCATGCCTGCTACACTTCATGCTTAAATTCCATGGTGTTTCTCACTTTTTTTACCACAGGAACTTTACTAGGAACTGTTTTTGGAGCCATGGTTACTTATTTTGCAGTTGCACTGCAAAAATACCACAAAAAACAATGGAAAACAAGCGAAATGTTTGGATGTATGATCAAAAGCCTCCTCACACACCGAAAGACACAGCCAAACTGACATGCAAGCAACCCCAGCCGGCGGACGGACATGTCCCAAACGGCTGATCACTGAATTAATGGCCAATAACCAGGCGCCGAAAAACTAGCTGATAACAGAAGCGGCCGATAACCAGATATCTACTGTACATCGTGTTTAAGTTTTATTTAAATCCTCATAAAAACTGGTCAAGGATTAAAAGCTCTTATCAGAGAATTTTTTTTTTAATGCACCAGCCATCTCCCACCAAGGCAGGGTAACCTTAAAAAAAAAAACTTTTGTTTTTCTTTTTACATGTAGTAGGTAGGTAGACAGTAGGTAGGTAGTAGGTTGGTAGACAGCAACCACCCAGGGAAGTACTACCGTCCTGCCAGATGACTGTGAAACAGAAACCTGTAACTGTTTTGCATGATGGTAGGATTGCTGGTTTCTTTTTCTGTCTCATAAACACGCTAGATAACAGGGATATCTTGCTACTCCTACTTACACTTTGGTCACACTTCACAGACACGCACATGCATATACAGTGGACCCCCGGTTAACGATATTTTTTCACTCCATAAGTATGTTCAGGTGCCAGTACTAACCGAATTTATTCCCATAAGGAATATTGTGAAGTAGATTATTCCTTTCAGACCCCCAAACATACACGTACAAACGCACTTACATAAATACACTTACATAATTGGTCGCAATCGGAGGTAATCGTTATGCGGGGGTCCACTGTATATATACATACATCTAGGTTTTCTCCTTTTTCTAAATAGCTCTTGTTCCTCTTTATTTCTTCTATTGTCCATGGGGAAGTGGAAAAGAATCTTTCCTCCGTAAGCCATGCGTGTCGTATGAGGCGACTAAAATGCCGGGAGCAATGGGCTAGTAACCCCTTCTCCTGTAGACATTTACTAAAAAAGAGAAGAAAAACTTTATAAAACTGGGATGCTTAAATGTGCGTGGATGTAGTGCGGATGACAAGAAACAAATGACTGCTGATGTTATGAATGAAAAGAAGTTGGATGTCCTGGCCCTAAGCGAAACAAAGCTGAAGGGGGTAGGGGAGTTTCGGTGGGGGGAAATAAATGGGATTAAATCTGGAGTATCTGAGAGAGTTAGAGCAAAGGAAGGAGTAGCAGTAATGTTGAATGATCAGTTATGGAAGGAGAAAAGAGAATATGAATGTGTAAATTCAAGAATTATGTGGATTAAAGTAAAGGTTGGATGCGAGAAGTGGGTCATAATAAGCGTGTATGCACCTGGAGAAGAGAGGAATGCAGAGGAGAGAGAGAGAGATTTTGGGAGATGTTAAGTGAATGTATAGGAGCCTTTGAACCAAGTGAGAGAGTAATTGTGGTAGGGGACCTGAATGCTAAAGTAGGAGAAACTTTTAGAGAGGGTGTGGTAGGTAAGTTTGGGGTGCCAGGTGTAAATGATAATGGGAGCCCTTTGATTGAACTTTGTATAGAAAGGGGTTTAGTTATAGGTAATACATATTTTAAGAAAAAGAGGATAAATAAGTATACAAGATATGATGTAGGGTGAAATGACAGTAGTTTCTTGGATTATGTATTGGTAGATAAAAGACTGTTGAGTAGACTTCAGGATGTACATGTTTATAGAGGGGCCACAGATATATCAGATCACTTTTTAGTTGTAGCTACACTGAGAGTAAAAGGTAGATGGGATACAAGGAGAACAGAAGCCTCAGGGTAGAGAGAGGTGAAGGTTTATAAACTAAAAGAGGAGGCAGTTAGGGTAAGATATAAACAGCTATTGGAGGATAGATGGGCTAATGAGAGCATAGGCAATGGGGTCGAAGAGGTATGGGGTAGGTTTAAAAATGTAGTGTTAGAGTGTTCAGCAGAAGTTTGTGGTTACAGGAAAGTGGGTGCGGGAGGGAAGAGGAGCGATTGGTGGAATGATGATGTGAAGAGAGTAGTAAGGGAGAAAAAGTTAGCATATGAGAAGTTTTTACAAAGTAGAAGTGATGCAAGGAGGGAAAAGAGTATATGGAGAAAAAGAGAGAGGTTAAGAGATGGTGAAGCAATGTAAAAAGAGAGCAAATGAGAGAGTGGGTGAGATGTTATCAACAAATTTTGTTAAAAATAAGAAAAAGTTTTGGGTGAGATTAACAAGTTAAGAAAGCCTAGAGAACAAATGGATTTGTCAGTTAAAAATAGGAGAGTTATTAAATGGGGGAAATTAGAGGGATTTGGGAAGATGGAGGGAAATTATTTTGAGGAATTGTTAAATGTTGATGAAGATAGGGAAGCTGTGATTTGTGTATAGGGCAAGGAGGAACAACATCTTGTAGGAGTGAGGAAGAGCCCGTTGTGAGTGTGGGGGAAGTTCGTGAGGCAGTAGGTAAAATGAAAGGGGGTAAGGCAGCCGGGATTGATGGGATAAAGATTGAAATGTTAAAAGCAGGTGGGGATATAGTTTTGGAGTGGTTGGTGCAATTATTTAATAAATGTATGGAAGAGGGTAAGGTACCTAGGGACTGGCAGAGAGCATGCATAGTTCCTTTGTATAAAGGCAAAGGGGATAAAAGAGAGTGCAAAAATTATAGGGGGATAAGTCTGATGAGTCTAGGTAGTAGGTTGGTAGACAGCAACCACCCAGGGAGGTACTACCGTCCTGCCAAGTGAGTGTAAAACGAAAGCCTGTAATTGTTTTACATGATGGTAGGATTGCTGGTGTCCTTTTTTCTGTCTCATGAACATGCAAGATTTCAGGTACGTCTTGCTACTTCTACTTACACTTAGGTCACACTACACATACATGTACAAGCACATATATACACACCCCTCTGGGTTTTCTTCTATTTTCTTTCTAGTTCTTATTCTTGTTTATTTCCTCTTATCTCCATGGGGAAGTGGAACAGAATTCTTCCTCCGTAAGCCATGCGTGTTGTAAGAGGCGACTAAAATGCCGGGAGCAAGGGGCTAGTAACCTCTTCTCCTGTATATATTACTAAATGTAAAAGGAGAAACTTTCGTTTTTCATTTTGGGCCACCCCGCCTCGGTGGGATACGGCCGGTGTGTTGAAAGAAAGAAGTCTGTTGAGTATACCTGGCAAAGTGTATGGTAGAGTTATTATTGAAAGAATTAAGAGTAAGACGGAGAATAGGATAGCAGATGAACAAGGAGGCTTTAGGAAAGGTAGGGGGTGTGTGGACCAGGTGTTTACAGTGAAACATATAAGTGAACAGTATTTACATAAGGCTAAAGAGGTCTTTGTGGCATTTATGGATTTGGAAAAGGCGTATGACAGGGTGGATAGGGGGGCAATGTGGCAGATGTTGCAGGTGTATGGTGTAGGAGGTAGGATACTGAAAGCAGTGAAGAGTTTTTACGAGGATAGTGAGGCTCAAGTTAGAGTATGTAGGAAAGAGGGAAATTATTTCCCAGTAAAAGTAGGCCTTAGACAAGGATGTGTGATATCACCGTGGTTGTTTAATATATTTATAGATGGGGTTGTAAGAGAAGTAAATGCGAGGGTCTTGGCAAGAGGCGTGGAGTTAAAAGATAAAGAATCACACATAAAGTGGGAGTTGTCACAGTTGCTCTTTGCTGATGACACTGTGCTCTTGGGAGATTCTGAAGAGAAGTTGCAGAGATTGGTGGATGAATTTGGTAGGGTGTGCAAAAGAAGAAAATTGAAAGTGAATACAGGAAAGAGTAAGGTTATGAGGATAACAAAAAGATTAGGTGATGAAAGATTGGATATCAGATTGGAGGGAGAGAGTATGGAGGAGGTGAATGTATTCAGATATTTGGGAGTGGACGTGTCAGCGGATGGGTCTATGAAAGATGAGGTGAATCATAGAATTGATGAGGGGAAAAGGGTGAGTGGTGCACTTAGGAGTCTGTGGAGACAAAGAACTTTGTCCTTGGAGGCAAAGAGGGGAATGTATGAGAGTATAGTTTTACCAACGCTTTTATAAGGGTGTGAAGCATGGGTGATGAATGTTGCAGCAAGGAGAAGGCTGGAGGCAGTGGAAATGTCATGTCTGAGAGCAATGTGTGGTGTGAATATAATGCAGAGAATTCGTAGTTTGGAAGTTAGGAGGAGGTGCGGGATTACCAAAACTGTTGTCCAGAGGGCTGAGGAAGGGTTGTTGAGGTGGTTCGGACATGTGGAGAGAATGGAGCGAAACAGAATAACTTCAAGAGTGTATCAGTCTGTAGTGGAAGGAAGGCGGGGTAGGGGTCGGCCTAGGAAAGGTTGGAGGGAGGGGGTAAAGGAGGTTTTGTGTGCGAGGGGCTTGGACTTCAAGCAGGCATGCGTGAGCGTGTTTGATAGGAGTGAATGGAGACAAATGGTTTTTAATACTTGACGTGCTGTTGGAGTGTGAGCAAAGTAACATTTATGAAGGGGTTCAGGGAAACCGGCAGGCCGGACTTGAGTCCTGGAGATGGAAAGTACAGTGCCTGCACTCTGAAGGAGGGGTGTTAATGTTGCAGTTTAAAAACTGTAGTGTAAAGCACCCTTCTGGCAAGACAGTGATGGAGTGAATGATGGTGAAAGTTTTTCTTTTTCGGGACACCCTGCCTTGGTGGGAATCAGCCAGTGTGATAATAAAAATAAATAAAATGTAGTAATGTATACAGGGAAAGGGGTTACTATCCCCTTGCTCCCAAAAATTGAAACGTTAACCAGAATTTTATAAGATCCCCATTAGTGAAATTTATATTGCATTGCTATTAACCCTTTCAGGGTCCGTGCCGTAGATCTACGGCCTTACGTTGAGGGTCCAAACAGTAGATCTACGCCATGAGCTCAGCTCACTCTAATAAGCTGTGAGTGGTACATATGGGCCTAGATATGAGATAATACATCTATGTGGTATGTGTGCACCACATAAAACAAATCCTGCAGCACACAGCGTATAATGAGAGAAAAAACTGAGACAGTAATTTTCGATTAAAAGAGCGACTTTGCAGTGCTTTTTTGTATGTTTTTTATAGTTGTATTGCGATTTCTTGGTCTCATCTGATAGAATGGAAGATATATTACAAAATATAGATGATTTTGATTGGTTTTAGTACTGGAAATGTCTTGAAACTGAGCTCAAATTAGTGAAAATGTTAAATTTTTGCCGATGTTCAAGATTAAACAAACGACCTCACACGTCTAATACACGGCAGCTGGTGGGTCTAATATACATTCACAAATGTGGTGATGATATTTATATAATTACTACAATATTGCATAACAGTAAATCTTCTATTTTTTGGTGTGAATAAAAATTCATTATGCGAATAAAAAATCAAAATGGAATTCATTTGTAAAGCCTGAAAACATAACTAATGAAGAGAGCAAATGTTAGTTTAGTGCCAGGAATGCCTGCATTGTTTACTCTGGACCCTATTTTAAAATTGGAATATTTTGAACTTTGTGTTAAATTGGCTAAATTACCAATTTCCGATCACTTTATTTTGAAGTTGAAACAGTTGACTGGGCGATTTCTTGTGCTCAATCGATAGAATAGAAGTAATACCAGTGAAATAGCTAAGAATTTGGTCGACTGGAATAATGTAATTGGCCTAAAATGGGAGTCAAAGTCGGCAAAATCGCCGATTCATAAATATCGCTGACACATCAAAATTCGCGACCATAATTTCGTCAATTTTCCATCAAATATCGTACTTTTTGTTTTATTACCTTTAGAAAAAGATTCTTTACCATTTCATAAGAAAAAATAACAAAAATTTTTTTTTTAAATTCTTGGACCCTGGTGCACACTTTGAAAATTGGCCTCTGGACCCTGAAAGGGTTAAATAATATGATGGAATTAGACAAAAGGGAGAGGCATTACATGTACAAAATGAGGCATGGATAAACATATCACAGCTTTAACAGACTCAGGTATGGATCCTAAAAGACACATCTACATATTTATTCTAACAAATACTATAAGTTAATTATGTAAAATATTACAGTACCTTCTTGGTGAGACTGCAGTGAGTGGACACAAACATGACCTTAGTGAGGAGTAGTTCCAGAAGGTATCCTCGGTGAGAGTCACCCAGCATGTGTAACTCGTCCACTACAATTATGCTGAGCTCATTCAGACGCTTATCCTCCATTAATCTAAAAAATTATAAATTTATTTTGTAAGCTAGAGTAATACTCTGTATTATTACTGTATTTAAATGTTAACTTTATTCACATCCTAATTTTTTTAAAGACCATATGATGAAAACCATGTTAATTTGTAACAGCTCATTACTACACTTTATCTTCATTCATCCTGTAAGACAGCTCAGGCAGAGCCTCAACCATTATTATTTCTTTAACTCACTGTTTAATTATATAGCCATTATTATTTCTTTAATGGAAAACACTGCAATTACTTATAAACATCAATACAATATTTTTAATCTGTAGAAACAACTGGCAACAGAGAGATCTGTTATCAATGCTGGAAGAGAACTCACATCTAAGCAGACTTCAGTCATACTGTACCTGTTCACAAGATTATTAGCTTTTTCAATAGTACAAACTGCAATATCTGTAGCTTTCAGGCCTCCAGGGGGATTGTGAGACCCCATAAAACCCTCGACACGTATACCAGCAATACCAAACATTTTCTGTTAGGAAAAAACAAAAAGCCACTAGTATTAAGTGCCCATCCATATTAAATATTTCCATGTAAAGCAGTGCATGCTGAATATGTGAAGAGTATCCCAGTGAGGCTCAGGTTAGGGTGAGTAGAAGAGAGGGAGACTACTTCCCGGTAAAAGTAGGTCTTAGACAGGGATGTGTAATGTCACCATGGTTGTTTAATATATTTATAGATGGGGTTGTAAAGGAAGTAAATGCTAGGGTGTTTGGGAGAGGGGTGGGATTAAATTATGGGGAATCAAATTCAAAATGGGAATTGACACAGTTACTTTTTGCTGATGATACTGTGCTTATGGGAGATTCTAAAGAAAAATTGCAAAGGTTAGTGGATGAGTTTGGGAATGTGTGTAAAGGTAGAAAGTTGAAAGTGAACATAGAAAAGAGTAAGGTGATGAGGGTGTCAAATGATTTAGATAAAGAAAAATTGGATATCAAATTGGGGAGGAGGAGTATGGAAGAAGTGAATGTTTTCAGATACTTGGGAGTTGACGTGTCGGCGGATGGATTTATGAAGGATGAGGTTAATCATAGAATTGATGAGGGAAAAAAAGGTGAGTGGTGCATTGAGGTATATGTGGAGTCAAAAAACGTTATCTATGGAGGCAAAGAAGTGAATGTATGAAAGTATAGTAGTACCAACACTCTTATATGGGTGTGAAGCTTGGGTGGTAAATGCAGCAGCGAGGAGACGGTTGGAGGCAGTGGAGATGTCCTGTTTAAGGGCAATGTGTGGTGTAAATATTATGAAGAAAATTCGGAGTGTGGAAATTAGGAGAAGGTGTGGAGTTAATAAAAGTATTAGTCAGAGGGCAGAAGAGGGGTTGTTGAGGTGGTTTGGTCATTTAAAGAGAATGGATCAAAGTAGAATGACATGGAAAGCATAAAAAATCTATAGGGGAAGGAAGGCGGGGTAGGGGTCGTCCTCGAAAGGGTTGGAGAGAGGGGGTAAAGGAGGTTTTGTGGGTAAGGGGCTTGGACTTCCAGCAAGCGTGCGTGAGCGTGTTAGATAGGAGTGAATGGAGACGAATGGTACTTGGGACCTGACGATCTGTTGGAGTGTGAGCAGGGTAATATTTAGTGAAGGGATTCAGGGAAACCGGTTATTTTCATATAGTTGGACTTGAGTCCTGGAAATGGGAAGTACAATGCCTGCACTTTAAAGGAGGGGTTTGGGATATTGGCAGTTTGGAGGGATATGTTGTGTATCTTTATATGTGTATGCTTCTAGACTGTTGTATTCTGAGCACCTCTGCAAAAACAGTGATAATGTGCGAGTGTGGTGAAAGTGTTGAATGATGATGAAAGTATTTTCTTTTTGGGGATTTTCTTTCTTTTTTGGGTCACCCTGCCTCAGTGGGAGACGGCCGACTTGTTGAAAAAAAAAAAAAAAAAAAAAAAACAATCAACGAGGGGACTGTACTTTGGGAAACTTCTTGTTAGACAATCTCTCAGAAAAAACCATGGAATGGGTGGGGTTTGAACTCATGGCAAGTGAGTCATAAAACTCAGGCCAGTATTACTTACCTGCCATGGGTTCAAACCCCACTCGTTTTGTGGTTTGTTTTCAATCACATTACAATTTCATGAATCTTTCAGAACCCGAGGTGCAAGAGATGACTAATCTACATATGATTTTAAAGGTATCTATTGTTTGTCGGTAACAGAGTACCTAAAATAAAGTTGAAATAATGTTGGTAAAATTACTGACAATATGTAAAGTAAAAGGACACAAGTGCAACTAATGTGACATTTTTATTGTGGCAACGTTTCGCTCTCCAGGAGCTTTGTCAAGCCGTTATGTAACGGCTTGACAAAGCTCCTGAAGAGCGAAACGTTCCCACAATAAAAATGTCACATTAGTTGCACTTGTGTCCTTTTACTTTACATAAAATAAAGTTAATGAAATATCATTCATAGTTAATGAATGATATTTGTTTAACAATGATCAGATTAAATATGAAATGGACCTCAACACTGTGTTGCATTCTCTGACAGCAATACTTATATAAGAACAAGCTAATCATATTTATCATGAACTTTCATTATAAAATTTGCATACACTTCAAAGAAAAATAATCTACTGTATATATGTATACTAATACATTTTTTTTTTTTTCAACAAGTCGGCCGTCTCCCACTGAGGCAGGGTGACCCAAAAAAGAAAGAAAATCTCCAAAAAGAAAATACTTTCATCATCATTCAACACTTTCACCTCACTCACACACAATCACTGTTTTTGCAGAGGTGCCCAGAATACAACAGTTTAGAAGTATATATGTATAAAAATACACAATATATCCCTCCAAACTGCCAATATCCCAAACCCCTTCTTTAGAGTGCAGGCATTGTACTTCCCATTTCCAGGACTCAAGTCCAGTTATATAAAATAACCGGCTTCCCTGAATCCCTTCACTAAATATTACCCTGCTCACACTCCAACAGATCGTCAGGTCCCAAATACCATTTGTCTCCATTCACTCCTATCTAACACGCTCACACACGCTTGCTGAAAGTCCAAACCCCTCACCCACAACAACTCCTTTACCCCCTCCCTCCAACCTTTTCGAGGACGACCCCCACCCGCCCTTCCTTACCCTTCAGATTTATACGCTCTCCATGTCATTCTACTTTGATCCATTCTCTATAAATGACCAAACCACCTCAACAAACCCTCTTCAGCCCTCTGACTAATACTTTTATTAACTCCACTCCTTCTCCTAATTTCCACACTCCGAATTTTCTGCCTAATATTTACACCACACTTAAACAGGACATCTCCACTGCCTCTAACCGCCTCCTCGCTGCAGCATTTACCACCCAAGCTTCACATCCATATAAGAGTGTTGGTACTACTATACTTTCATACATTCCCTTCTTTGCCTCCATAGATAATATTTTTTGCCTCCACATACACCTCAATGCACCACTCACCTTTTTTCCTTCATCAATTCTATGATTAACCTCATCCTTCATAAATCTATCCGCTGACACGTCAACTCCCAAATATCTGAAAACATTCACTTCTTCCATACTCCTCCTCCCCAATTTGATATCCAATTTTTCTTTATCTAAATCATTTGATACTCTCATCACCTTACTCTTTTCTATGTTCACTTTCAACTTTCTACCTTTAAACACTCCCAAATTCGTCCACTAACCTTTGCAATTTTTCTTTAGAATCTCCCATAAGCACAATATCATCAGCAAAAAGTTACTTTGCCACTTCCCATTTTGTATTTAATTCCCCATAATTTAATCCCACCCCTCTCCCGAACACCCAAGCATTTACTTCTTTTACAACCCCATCTATAAATATATAAAATAACCATGGTGACATTACACATCCCTGTCCTACCTGAAGGATCACAAAAAGATTTTTTTTTTTATCTTCCAATAGCTTCACAGTGTTACAAATTTCTTGAACTTTATTAAATATTTAATATGTACCAATCATAATCATTTACTATGTCAAATGAATCTTATATCACTAACTTATTTCAATGCTACCTCATAATTATAATCTAAACCCCACTGTTATGTACAGAACTTATCATGTTGTAAGTACAGCATTTATGTTAATCTGGCCACAATGCTTATCATAATAAAACAGTTCCCTTCAAATACATAAGATGTAATCCTAGAACTGAATTAACACACTGTAATTCTAGGAAATAAAATCTGACTTGATTTCATTTATCTGCTATCTTACATGTTCATGAGACAAAAAAAAATCCCAACAATACTGCCAGAATGCAAAGCATTTATCCAATTTCTGTTTCATACCAATTACATTCATTAACACAAGAGAACAATAAAATTACACTAACTTTAAAGGTAGTACACCACTACAGAATAACAATATTACACTAACCTGAAGGTAGTACATCTTCTCCCGTGCCACTGATACGAAAGGAAGGATGAAAACTCCTTTGCGTCCACTTTCCGCCACTCTCTTTAGCAGCAACAACTCAGCAACAAGAGTCTTGCCTGGAGTATAACAAAAATTAATCTGAGACTAGTGAAGAATAAAAGTCACAATACTGTGGCTGGAGACGAAACTAGACAACATTTTAGTTTGTCCTTGATGTGATACAGTTATGGATAGACTAAGATTACCATATATTATCTTTGTGGGTTATTATTATTTTTATTATTATTTTTTAACACACCAGCTGCCTCCCATTAAAGTCCCAAGGGTGACCTTGGTGGGAGACAGCTGTTGTCTTAAAAATTTAAATGATGATGAAAGTATTTTCCTTCTTTTTGGGTTTTTCTTTCTTTTTGGGTCACCCTGCCTCGGTGGGAAATGGCCAACGTGTTAAAAAAAATGAACTTAGGAAGGATAGGGAATGTGTAAAGCAAGTGTTTACACTGAAGCATATACATGATCAGTACTTAGATAAAGGTAAAGAGCTGTTTGTTACATTAATATATTTGGAAAAGACATATGATAGGGTGGGTCGGGAAGCCATGTTGAAAATGTATTTAATAAGAAGTAGGTTACTAAAAGCAGTTAAGAGTTTTTATACAGAGTGAGGTGCAAGTTAAGGTATGTAGAAGGAAAAGGAGGCTATTTCCCAGCGAAATTAGGACTTAGAGAGATGCATGATCCCACCATAATGGTTTAACATATTTATAGGAGGGGTTGTGAAAGAAGTGAATTCTTGGGCATTGGGAGGGTGTGGGATTGAATGACATTGGGTCTGATACAAAGTGGGAATTAAACCAGTTGTTCTTTACTGATGACACAGTCCTTTTAGGGAATTCTGAAGACAAGTTACAAGGGTTGGTGACAAATTGGAAGGGTACGTGTGTAAAAGAAGGAAATTAAAAGTTAACTTAGAAAAGAGCAAAGTGAGTACACCTTTAGTATAGTCCATCTCTACCACCAACACTTTCCTGACCTAATCCCAAACCATACCCCATTCCCAGCCATATCCCTGCTGAGTGTCTCGATGCCTTGCATGTATCATTTTTCTGGTGTCTGCCACATCCCTGCTGGTCCTCAAACCCCATCTCTAACCTGTCACGAATTGTAAAAAGCTAAAGCTGCAGCTGCTACACATGGCCTTGCAGCTGTGTCTAGCCTTGGCTCTTTCCTACTCTGACCTTTCTTATATCCACTTTCCACTTATCCCCTCAAAGGTTCTTATCTGAGAGTGAATGAAGTGAACTGACCAGGGTGATGAGGATAACAAAAAGTTTAGGCAATGACAGACTGAATACCACACAAAAGGGAGAAAATATTGAGGAAGTGGATGTATTTAGATATTTAGGAGTGGAAAGGTCAGAAGATTGAGTCTATTAAAGAGGAGGTGAACCATAAAATAGAGAGAAAGGTTTTGGGAGATGTTAAGCGAGTGTATAGGAGCGTTAGAGCCAAGTGAGAGAGTAATTGTGGTAAGGGACCTAAATACCAAAGTAGGAGAAGCTTTTAGAGAGGGTGTGGTAGGTAAGTTTGGGGTGCCAGGAGTAAATGATAATGGGGAGCATTTGATTGAACTTTGTATAGAAAGGGGTTTGGTTATAGGTAACACATATTTTAAGAAAAAGAGGATAAATAAGTAAACGTACAAGATATGACATAGGGCATAATGACAGTAGTTTGTTGGACTACATATTGGTAGATAAAGGACTGTTGGGTAGACTTCAGGATGTACATGTTTATAGAGGGGCCACAGATATATCAGATCAATTTTTAGTTATACCTACAGTAAGAGTAAAAGGTAGATGGGTTACAAGGAAATTGGAAGCAGCAAGTAAGAGAGAGGTGAAGGTTTATAAACTAAAGGAGGAGGCAGATAGGGTAAGATATAAACAACTGTTAGAGGACAGATGGGATAGTGTGAGTATAGGCAATGGGGTAGAAGATTTATGGGGTAAGTTTAAGAATACAGTGGACCACCGCCTTACAATATTATTTCATTCCAGAAGTCTGTTCGGGTGCCATTAGAGACCGAATTTGTTCCCATAAGGAATATTGTGAATTAGATTAGTCCGTTTCAGACCCCCAAAAATACACGTACAAAAGCACTTACAAAAATACACTTACATAATTGGTCAAGTTGGGAGCTGATCGTAAGGTGGGGATCCACTGTATAATGTTAGTGTGTCCAGCAGAAGTTTGTGGTTACAAGAAAGTAGGTATGGGAGGGAAGAAGAGCAACTGGTGGACTGTTGATGTAAAGAGAGTAGTAAGTGAGAAAAAGTTAGCATATGAGAGGTTTTTACATAGTAGAAGTGATGCAAGGAGGGAGGAGTTTATGGAGAGAAAAAGAGAGAGGCTAAGAGAGTGGTGAAGCAATGTAAAAAGAGAGCAAATGAGAGAGTGGGTGAGATTTTATCAAAAAATTTTGTTGAAAATAAGAAAAAGTTTGGGAGTGAGATTAATAAGCTGAGAAAGCCTAGGGAACAAATGGATATGTTAGTTAAAAATAGGAGAGGAGAGTTATTAAATGGAGAGTTAGAGGTATCAGGAAGATGGAGGGTTTATTTTGAGAAATTGTTAAATGTTGATGAAGATAGGGAAGCTGTGATTTCGTGTATAGGACAAGGAGGAATAACATCTAATAGGAGTAAGAAAGAACCAGCTGTGAGTGTGGGGAAAGTGCATGGGGCAGTGGGTAGAATGAAAGGGGGTAAAGCAGCTGGGATTGATGGGATAAAGATAGAAATGTTATAAGCAGGTGGGGATATAGTTTTGGACTGGTTGGTGTTTTTATTTAATAAATGTATGGAAGAGGGTAAGGTACCTAGAGACTGGCAAAGAGCAAACAGAGTTCCTTTGTATAAAGTCAAAGGGGACAAAAGAGTACAAAATTTATAAGGGAATAAGTCTGTTGGTAGACAGCAACCACCCAGGGGGGTACTACCGTCCTGCCAAGTGAGTGTGAAATGAAAGCCTGTAATTGTTTTACATGATGGTAGGACTGCTGGTGTCTTTTGTCTGTCTCATAAATATGCAAGATTACAGGTACGTCTTGTTACTTCTACTTACACTTAGGTCACACTACATATACATTTACATGTTTATTTATACACACTCATCTGAGTTTTCTTGGATTTTATCTTAATAGTTCTTGGTCTTCTTGCTTTTCCTTTTATATCCATGGGGAAGTGGAATAAGAATCTTTCCTCCGTAAGCCATGCGTGTTGTAAAAGTCAACTAAAATGCCGGGAACAATGGGCTAGTAACCCCCTTTCCTGTAATAATTACTAAAAAGAATAAGAAGAAAATTGTCAAAGTGGAAAGTCTGAATGTGCGTGGACGTTGTGCAAATGATAAGAAAGGAGATGATTGTGTATGTTATGAATGAGAAGAAGCTGGATGTCCTGGCTTTAAGTGAAACAAAGCTGAAGGGGGTGGGAGAGTTTCAGTGGAGAGGAATAAATGGGATTAGGTCAGGGGTTTCAAATAGAGTTAGAGCTAAAGAAGGAGTAGCAATAATGTTGAAGGATAACTTATGGCAGGAAAAGAGAGACTACAACTGTATTAATTCAAGGATTATGTGGAGTAAAATAAAGATTGGATGTGAAAAGCGGGTTATAGTAAGTGTATATGCACCTGGAGAAGAGAGAAGTGTAGAGGAGAGAGAGAGATTTTGGGAAATGTTGAGTGAATGCATGGGGAGTTTTGAACCAAGTGTGAGAGTAATGGTGGTTGGGGATTTCAATGCTAAAGTGGGCAAAAATGTTGTAGAGGGAGTAGTAAGTAATTTTGGGGTGTCAGGGGTAAATGAAAATGGGGAGCCTTTAATTGAGGTATGTGTAGAAAGAGGTTTGGTAATAAGTAATACATATTTTATGAAGAAGAGGATAAATAAATATACAAGGTATGATATAACACGTAATGAAAGTAGTTTGTTAGATTATGTAATGGTGGATAAAAGGTTGATGGGTAGGCTCCAGGATGTACACGTTTATAGAGGGGCAACTGATATATAAGATCATTATTTAGTTGTAGCTACAGTTAGAGTAAGAGGTAGGTGGGTGGGAAAAGAGGAAAATGGCAACAACAAGCAAGAGGGAGGTGAAAGTGTATAAACTAAGGGAGGAGGAAGTTCGAGTGAGATATAAGCAACTACAGTGGACCCCCGGTTAACGATTTTAATCCGTGCAAGAGGGGTAATTGTTATGCGAAATAATCGTTATGTGAATGAATTTTCCCCATAAGAAATAATGGAAATAAAATTAATCCGTGCAAGACACCCAAAAGTATGAAAAAAAAAATTTTTTACCACATGAAATGTTAATTTTAATACACACAAACTGAAAAAGGCATGCACACTTACATGACACTTACTTTTATTGAAGATCTGGTGATGATTGATGGGATGGGAGGAGGGGAGAGCATTATCTTCTTACTGTTTAGAAGGGAATCCCCTTCCATTAGGACTTGAGGTAGCAAGTCCTTTTCCGGGGTTACTTCCCTTCTTCTTTTAATGCCACTAGGACCAGCTTGAGAGTCACTGGACCTCTGTCGCACAACAAATCTGTCCATAGAGCTCTGTACCTCCCGTTCCTTTACGATTTGTCTAAAATGGGCCACAACATTGTCATTGAAATAGTCACCAGCACGGCTTGCAACAGCTGTGTCAGGGTGATTTTCATCCATAAAGGTTTGCAGTTCAACCCACTGTGCACACATTTCCTTAATCTTTGAAGTAGGCACAATGGATTCCACAACTGGCATAGGCTTCTCAGGGTTAGCCCCAAACCCTTCAAAATCTTTCTTAATTTCCATACTAATTCTCACCCTTTTTACCACAGGGTTGGCACTAGAAGCTTTCTTGGGGCCCATGGTCACTTATTTTCCAGAAACACCACCGAAAACACTGTAATAATATGAAATATTCCGAGTGTATGCTTGGATGTTAGCGCGGAGGCTGCCTGGTAAACAATGGCATGGGCGGCACATGTGAGGCTGGGTGAGGGCGCACATTGGACGCGTCTCGGACGAAAATCGGTGAGCGGGTTTTTAATCGGTA